TATTTTTGAGGACTTTTTAAAATGTCAATATTGCATTGTGATTTCAATGTTAATTTCAGTTTGAGAAAGTAACAAGTTTATTTATCTCCAAAATTTTTAAGATCTCACGTCTTATGTCAGTTAATTACAGTCAACTTTCTTTTTCTTCCGTGCTTGACATAAGTGTACTCTGTTTCCTGTCTAATCCAACGGTTAAAAGATGCTCTATCCAGACCAAGCGCCAGTCGTGTTCGCTTCTCTGGGTCATGATTATCACAATATGAATGACCCATCTTAGATTCCCCGAGCAAGTACTGGTACAGTCAAACGGTAACCTTCTGCATAGTTATAATTTGCATCTAATTTTCATTTTGAAACTGATGTATATGTCAGCTTTTATAAACTTAATGACACAAAAACTCAAAACTAGTTTGAGGATGCGCCTTTGACTTAACAACCTTGACCGACCTCTTATTTTCGTGCGAGGTCACTGAGAGTGCGAGTTTGCACGAGAAAATAATGAAATGCATAGGTTTCATTTGAACCCCTATTAAACCGATCATAGTGTGTATTAATTCCTGAAGCTAATAAAAGTAAACCTTCCAAGAGTCTACAGAGACGGTTTGATGATAAAAATATATATCGTTAAAAAAAAAAAGAAAAAAAAAAAAAAAAAAAAAACTACATATGATATTTTTCTTAAGTGAAAAAAAAAAAAAAATTCCCTTACGTCATGGATATTCTAAGGCTGCATGCAAAAAATCAATGTGATTTAACAGGCAGTTCTCGAGAAAAAAGTGTGCATGTGTGTTTATCTATTGTTGAACGAACTATAATTTGCGATTGCCGAAATTGGATGTGTTGGGGAAAGGCGAGGATTTCACAATCTAACTGTAAACCTCAACACAATGTGCCAACTAACCCTCCTCAAGGTGTATTCAGAAAAAAAGAGATAATAATAATAACATAAATAAAAAGAAGAAGAAGAAGGAGAAAAAGGGGGGGGGGGGAGGGGTCGACAATAATTTATGCAGATGCTCCTGTAATTGTGCGTTGACCTCTATCTTTCGCAGGTGTATTCGCCATCATCGGGTGTATCGTCTATGCTGCCAAGGCGTACATCGTTTGGGATCCCAACTATTCGTTTTTTCTGACTCTGTTTGGGTCCATCATTCTTATTTTTGGATGTGCTCTTCTGTTCAAAGGGAAGAACATTTCAAGTATTGGCGGCGTGTGACGCACTAGTAAATTGTTTGCGTAATCTTTGAGTAGTGCTGGAAACTTGTTATTTTTCCAGTGTTTCTGGACAGGATAGTGTGAGGATTTGTTATGTTGCTAGCTTAACAACTTCGCGTGCACTGATAGTGTACCAATAGTGGGCTGACAGGGAAGGGGTTTACACTCGTTGACCTTATCAATTTCGGTTGAATCACATTGTTTATGCTACTTGTATCATCTTTCAACTGTACTAATGTACGTAATTAATTATGTTAGATGTGTTATCAAGGGGTCTGCAGAACAGCTGTAGAAGTATCAGTGAGCGATACGATTACCACAAACATTGCACCACTAGGACTGATATAAGTCATTGTTTTCCAATGAAGAACAGCAGATAAAATGATTTTGCTATTTGAGAAACATGTCCTAGCGTCAGCTACCACAAAGATCTAAGACTGAAGCAATATAAGTGAAGCTCAGGGGGTAACAACAATAAAGGATGAAGAGACATTATCAAGAAAGAGCTGGAGAAATATAGACAACTAGCACAACTCATTTTAGATTACTGAACACCTGATTAATGATGTTTCCCTAACATCAATGCGAAAATATGTGGCGGGAAAATTAGGATACTGTTTAATTTTCAATGTATTGTGTGTGTGTGTGTGTGTGTGTGTGTGTGTGTGTGTGTGTATATATATATATATATATATTATATATATATATATATATATATATATATATATATATATATATATATATATATATATATAATATCGTGAATCCTGGACAATCGGTAGGCAGGCCAAACAATTTCTAGAGGCCTCAGAGATGTGGTTTTACAGAAGAATGCTTAGAATACCTTGGACAGCCAAAAAGAGCAACCGAGAGGTTTTAAAAGAGGCGGAAGCCCGAAGACAACTTAACACAGACATCAGAAAGAGACAGTCATCATTTTTCGGTCATGTTATGAGAAGAAAGAAAATAGAACATGTTGGGACCACTGGAAAGATCTGTGGAAGGAGGGATAGAGGAAGACAACGAGAGAAGATGCTTGACAGTCTTGTTGCATGGCATGGAGGTGTGCCGGCTCACGAACTGATACATGCTGCAGGAGATCGCAGATAATGAAGAGGCATGATCGCTCACGCCAGTCGGCAAGACACTTAATGATGATGATGATGATATATATATATATATATATACAGATGTTAATGGATCTTGGAATGTGAGCAAAGAAATTAAGAGTTTGGAGGCAACTGAGATGTGGTTCTTGAGAAAAATGTTGGGAATACCTTGGACTGCCAGAAAAACCAACAATGAATGCCTGGAAATGGCTAATGAATGTAGAACATTGTATACAACATTTAGAAAGAAAGTAACACAATTCTTCGTCCTGTGATGAGAAAAGGAGTACTGGAAAATATGGTGACAGCTAAAAAAAAAAATCACGTGTTGATGAGGAAGAGGCAGACCAAGATAAATAATGATGGATGGCTCAGGACAGTGGCAATGAGGAATATTATCAGTGGAATTGATCTAGAACACCGGAGACCAACATCTGTGATGTTTGAACGCCAGATGGCAAGGCACTTGGTTATATATATATATATATATATATATATATATATATATATATATATATATATATATATATATATATATATATATATATATATATATAAAATATATTTGAAACGTTTTCATATTTGAAAAAAGAAAATTAAATTTGTGTGATGTAATATAATGATAGATTCACATCGGCGATCTAGTTGCCCACTGGCTCGCGGGTAGACGACTTCGTCGCCGGTCGGGACAGTATTTTGGTCTGTCTCCTTTGCTTGCATCATCACTGTCGGAGTTCTTTACTGGCCTCCTGCTGACGTGCAAGGCTAAGCCATTTGATACACATAATCTGATCACAATTATAACCCAAAAGTCCCCAATAAGGGATGCTGGTTGACGATTTTGTTTCCCAGCCAAGCACATGCCTACCTATGATTGATAAAGCTTACAAATTATATTCTTACTCATACATGTCTTTGAAGATTGTGTAATTGTTCGATGTATTCTATTTATTCCGGTTCAAACTTGTTCGATGCGAGATTGTGCTTGTAGGTTTATTTCTATCAAATTATAAAAATAAAATATAAATCGTTTATGGTCAAACATTAACAGTGGTGAGGCGCGCATGTAACGGCTAAAATCGCACATTTTACTTAACATTACAACAACAACAAAAAATTATTGCTCTACGTTTCAATTTTACAATTGATTACAATTATGCGCACTTGTTTTACGACTCAAAAATAACGAAAAGAATGCTCCTTGCATGCTTCGGTCAATTATACAGAAACTGTAACCCGTGTAAGCTTCATACGAATGCACTAAATGGCAAAGTGGCAAGTAGGAAAATGTCGCGTGATACCCTCTCCAGTGTAATTGATACCTGCGAAGGCGCTTACGTGCAAACTGATCACATCACTGAACTTAGGAATCATGTCTCTACACACAATTCTGACCTGTATACTGTCAATCAAATCAGTTTTATATGTAAGTCCAAGCAATGGCATTGCACGATTAGGTGGTACCTGGTGCGGAAAGTTGCTGTTATTTAGCAATACTCATAGGCACACACATACGCGCACAGACACACGCACTCACACATATAAACACACAAAATATTTCTGCGACCCGCCCTCTCCCCCCCCCCCTCCACCTTCCCCCACGCATCCTCTGCCATATTCTTCACTATTCACAAACTCGCCGTCACAATCTATTTGTTCTTGTTCTTGTTCTCCTCTTTCATCCCTCAGTAGAGCGTGTGCCCTCAGCTAACTCATGCCAAGAAGTGGCATCCTTGGCGATCGCACGCAGCATACTTCATGTTTTTCACATCTGTTTCACATGACTTTTATGTCCCCCCCCCACCCCCCAACACCCCCTTCAAAAAACAAAACTCTGTTAGTCTTCTTCTTCTTTCTATTATGTCTCTTCTTTCTTGTCGTTAGGCGTCACAATTTAACAATGATAGGTAGCCGAGCCAACGCGACATCCGTTGCTTGATTTCCCCCTGTGAAGTCTCAGTGTGTTGCATTCCCATGAGTTTCTAGGTCTCCATTCTCATGTTATTTATCCTTGCATTTGTTCTTACTTTGTGGCCTCATCATGCTAGTCTTTAGCAATGAGTGAATTTAAGGATGTATATTGTTTCAACAGTTTAATCTGTCCATTTCTCACACCATCCGTTCAATGTTTATTCGCAGCTTTTATAAAGCATTTCACTTCACAATGTGTTGATTTTTCTCGTAATATTTGGATAGTGCCATAGGCCAGTAGTTTGATTATATCTTATTCATTCCCCACCGTCAGAGGCGCAATAAACAACACACCAGTATTCAGTCCGAATCTTTACAACAATGACCGCAATAAACAACACACCAGTATTCAGTATACATCTTTACACCAATGACAGAAATAAACAACACACCAGTATTCAGTATACATCTTTACACCAATGACAGCAATAAACAACACACCAGTATTCAGTACGAATCTTTACACGAATGACAGCAATAAACAACACACCAGTATTCAGTACGAATCTTTACACCATTGACAGCAATAAACAACACACCAGTATTAGGTACACATCTTTACACGAATGACAGCAATAAACAACACAACAGTATTAGGTACACATCTTTACACGAATGACAGCAATAAACAACACATCAGTATTAGGTACACATCTTTACACCAATGACAGCAATAAACAACACAACAGTATTAGGTACACATCTTTACACCAATGACAGCAATAAACGTAAAAGACACAACCACATTAGGTGGACATGTGGATAATGCTGGACTTCATGTGTGGGACTGCTTCCGGCCGATGTTGTCCGCTCGTTGGGTCTCTGGGTTGTAGGTGGGACGGGTTCAATCCCCAGGGATTTCCTGATGGCGTTGAGGAGAGGGTACCTGCCCCCTCCACACATCTGAAAAGATCATCCCAGATCTTAAATAATGTTTGATGTGTTTTTCTTCGCAGCCAAAATTAGTGTGTTAACAAAGTCAAAAGTAGGAGTGCGTTAACAATGTCAAAAGTAGAAGTGCGTTAACCATGTCAACAGTAGAAGTGTGTTAACAATGTCAAAAGTAGAATTGTATTAACAATGTCAAAAGTAAAAGTGTGTTAACAATGTCAAATGTAGCAGCGTGTTAACAATGTCAAAAGTAGAAGTGTGTTAACAATGTCAAAAGTAGAAGTGTATTAACAATGTCAAAAGTAAAAGTGTGTTAACAATGTCAAATGTAGCAGCGTGTTAACAATGTCAAAAGTAGAAGTGTGTTAACAATGTCAAAAGTAGAAGTGTGTTAACAATGTCAAAAGTAGAAGTGTGTTAACAATTTTAAAAGTAGAAGTGGATTAACAATGTCAAAAGTAGAAGTGTGTTAACAATGTCAAATGTAGCAGCGTGTTAACCATGTCAAAACTAGAAGTGTGTTAACAATGTCAAATGTAGCAGCGTGTTAACCATGTCAAAACTAGAAGTGTGTTAACAATGTCAAAAGTAGAAGTTTGTTAACAATGTCAAAAGTAGAAGTGTGTTAACAATGTCAAAAGTAGAAGTGTGTTAACAATGTCAAAAGTAGAAGTGTGTTAACAATGTCAAAAGTAGAAGTGTGTTAACAATGTCAAAAGTAGAAGTGTGTTAACAATGTCAAAAGTAGAAGTGTGTTAACAATGTCAAAAATAGAAATGTGTTAACAGTGCAACTACCGGGTTCCCAGTCAAGATTGGCTCGACCTGAGAGCCAAGGTCATTTTGTGGGGGGGGGGGGGGGGGGAAGCCGGGCTCCGTCATGGCCCGAACCGAAGACCTTCTAATCGGCAGAGGCGCGTCTGGCTGCTACACCACGGCGGCTGGTAAACTATTCTGTACCACACGTAAGGTTCACAATCACCTTCTTCATTCCGATATATATCGTATACAATCCTTTTGGTATAATTAATAGAAACCAGTCTAGGGTTCGTCTTTGTGTCTTTCTTTGACTTCCTGGTTTCTTCATTTGATTTGTATCAGATTTTAGCGCCTGTAAGTGATTCTCTGTCCACTTCTTCACATGGGACGCTACAGATGCACACACAGACACACACACACATACACACAGACATACACACCCACACAGTGATTAACTGTCCACTTTTTCCTTATAGGACGAAACAAGTACACACACATAGACACACACACACACATAGAGTGATGTCCACTTTTTCTTATAGGACGCCACTGATAAACACACACACACAAATACACATACACACTAGGATTATTGATATAAGTATTGCTATCACTATTGCTGTGACTATAACTTTGATTATTGCTGTGACTATTGCTATGACTATTGCCATGATCATTATATGACTCTTGTTTGAATGAAGTTACTAAAATACCTTTCCACTGAAGTCATCTTGATCTAGCGACCAGAACATCACGCCAGCCAGCCCTAAACCCATCATCCACTTTATCTGAGGAAGACGAGCCTGAATTATTGCTAATGTCCTACAGGATTTATTTCTCAATCAATCACTGTTAATAAATCAGATCTTTTAAACACACGAAGTTTCATGATAAACAGGATTCCATTGATCGAGGTTGCATCAAGGGGAAAGAACCACAAGAGAATAGTTATACATTGGTGACAAGTTAGGAGCTGGGATTTTGAGAATAAGTTAGCAAAATACGTATGATAGTAACAATGGTCCTGGAATCCGATGCTGCAATTCTGGAATGCATATTTTTAACTGGAACGGGTGTTCCAGGTCACACTCGCCATAGCCATGGGCTGTGAATTCCATGCTCTAATATACTACAATATAGGCTTAACAGAGAGGATTGGAAATACCAAGATACAAAGTATTACATATTTAAACTTCATAGAATAGGGGAACACCTGAATAAAAACTGACACAACAAAATACCACCTGTAAGTGAAAAAAAAAATAAAGTTCCCTTTACACGCCCTTAGGCGCATCGGGCACATAGGAAGAGAACCCATATTTTTTACAGACCAATCGGCACTCGGTGGGTAATGTGGTCAGCATTACGCCGGCCGTCTTTACTTTCCCAGGACAGCCCATCCTGGTACCCATTTGAGGCTGGATCGACCTGCGACGTCTCATACCACGATAACAATCCACGAAGACCACACAGGTTTCGATCGCGGTACGTTGGATTACGAGTCAGACTTACGCCTTAGCCACGGACCCCCCCCCCCCCCCCCCCCCCCCCCCACCTTTTCCCCCACCTGTAGGCAGATATAAAAACGAACATTACTTGGCATGGACTATTTATACAGATGAACGTCACTTGGCGTGAACTATTTATACAGATGAACGTCACTTGGCGTGAACTATTTATACAGATGAACGTCACTTGGCGTGAACTATTTATACAGATGAACGTCACTTGGCGTGAACTATTAATACAGATGAACGTCACTTGGCATGGACTATATGTACAGATGAACGTCACTTGGCATGGACTATATGTACAGATGAACGTCACTTGGCATGGACTATATGTACAGACGACGTCACTTACATACCAGTCATTTAGCCGGGATAGAGAAGAGAAGAAAGCTAATTTATAGATGAAATATTAGTTTTTTATTTGATTGACTGAGCGGACAAGTGATGCTGCTACTGATTGATTAACTTAACAAGGATTTATTCAAACACCTAAATGCAGCAGACCAAGACACAATCTGTGGCTTATGCAATGGATGTTGTGGACTCAACAAACATTGATAAACATTAAGAATGGGCCACACAGCTCTCGACCAGTGTCTTCGTGCTGAAACAAAACTTAAAACACGTTTTGTAAGAAAGGGCTCTCTTGGAGCAGCTGCGAAACAACATGTTGCAACAACTAGTAGACCTCATAACTTAGCTTTGGGGACATCTGAGACGCCCCGTCAAAACGTCCCGGGTAAAAGGCCACACTGGATAAAGCGCATGACCACACACCACCGAAGAAGCGAAAGAAATCGCTATGCCCACATAATTTAAACGTAACATTCACCTAGTCGGTGGGTTGGACAACAGCATAAAAATCTGCAGTGAGAACAAACACGGCTATAAAAGCCTATAAAGTAGCAACAGTTCTATTGAATTGGGTTTGTGATTGATAGTAAAACTTTCAAGAGGAGAGTTCACTTCAGTGTCTTTTCAACAGCTCTACGTCACTAGAATAGGTTCTGTCTCTAAGTTTCTCACTAACTGTTCTGTCATACCATTTTATTTCAACTGTTCCTTTGAAGGCTACATGTGTAGGATCACCATCTCATAGATGAGGTTCAGACAGAAGCAGTTTGTTCCGTCCGGGACTGCCGCCTGTAGGATCACCATCTCATAGATGAGGTTCAAACAGAAGCAGTTTGTTCCGTCCGGGACTGTGGCCTGTAGGATCACCATCTCTTAGATGAGGTTCAGACAGAAGCAGTTTGTCCCGTCCGGGACTGCCACCTGTAAGATCACCATCTCTTAGATGAGGTTCAGACAGAAGCAGTTTGTCCTGTCCGGGACTGTCGCCTGTAGGATCACCATCTCATAGATGAGGTTCAGACAGAAGCAGTTTGTCCTGTCCGGGACTGCCGCCTGTAGGATCACCATCTCATAGATGAGGTTCAGACAGAAGCAGTTTGTCCTGTCCGGGACTGCCGCCTGTAGGATAACCATCTCATAGATGAGATTCAGACAGAAGCAGTTTGTCCTGTCCGGGACTGTCGCCTGTAGGATCACCATCTCATAGATGAGATTCAGACAGAAGCAGTTTGTCCTGTCCGGGACTGTCGCCTGTAGGATAACCATCTCTTAGATGAGGTTCAAACAGAAGCAGTTTGTTCCGTCCGGGACTGTGGCCTGTAAGATCACCATCTTTTAGATGAGATTCAGACAGAAGCAGTTTGTCCTGTCAGGGACTTCCGCCTGTAGGATAACCATCTCTTAGATGAGGTTCAAATGCAAGCAGTTTGTTCCCGACGTGAATGCTATCGGATAGGAATAAACTCACAGGGAGCAAGTACAACGGGGATCTACCAGTCGTCAGTAGAAATTATCCTCGTCGACACACGTTTCGGCCCACGATTCCTAGACGTATTACCACCGTGAGATTAACCTGTAAAGAAGCTTTAATTACGGTTACCCATCATGGCTAGACAAGCTCAGTAGATTCTGCAGACCTGAGCATATAAGGACGATACTACACCATTAAGGTCAATGTTCATTCATTGAAAGCACTAATTATATAAAAAGTTCTTCTTTCTTATTTTGTCAATATCTACTTATGCCGCTAGTCGTCGCAGTTCATCAGAAAATCGGCAGCCGGGCCAGGGCGCGCTCGGTCACTTGATATGCCGGAATGGTATAAAGTCTCAAGGTGTCAGTGACTATTTAATCCATGTTCTTCTCGGTCTTCCCCTGCCTCTTGGTGTTTCGATTTTCAGATTGTATGCTCTTGTCTTGCTGCAGGCATCGTTGGTTACATTCTCATTAGGTGACCAAACCATTTCATTTTGTGTTTCTCTTTACATTTCATGAAAAGTGTTGTTTCAACAGTTCTTGTTATCACGTCGTTTCTCACTCCATCTCTTCTGGTTTTATTTACAGCCATTCTCAATCATCTCATCTCACAGGTTGTTGGGTGTTCTTTCGTTCTCTTTTGTCAGTTTCCAAGTCTGACACTGGTAAAATAAAGTCGGTTAAAATTGCATTTATAAATATATCTATTTTTGTGTCTCTGTTTAGGAAGGCAGGGTGTTTTAAAATTGGTTCAAGTTGATACATGAAATTGTTAGCTAGTTAGATTCTCGTTTCTATCTCTCTCTGTTTTACAACGGTGTGTAAAGATGCTTCCCAAGTTTTTCAGTTCTTGCAATTTTTTTAGAATTTGATCTTTATGACCATGGTTTGCTACTCTCTACATATTCTCAACGGTTCACATCAAATATTTACAAAAGCTCTATGTACGACTAAATTACTGACGTTTGACCCCACTAGGACCGTTCGACGAGCGAAAAAGTGCCACCAACTGGGTGATGATTACCCGGCGACGGGCTCCAGAAACGCCGTTCAACCCATAATTGGGTTATATGGGGGCCCCCGACAACAGCCAGACTGAGGCTTTAACATACCGAAACACTGCCTCCCATTGTTGGGACGGGGTTATTGTATACAACTTCGACGTCACTGGAGTAGGTAGCGTCATCGCTGTAAGTAATTCCGAGATTCAAAATTCGATTCCAGCTGTGTGTGCTATTTGACAGCAGACCGCTATGTATTATTTCGATGAAGGAATCGAGAGATTATCATTTAAACAGCAATGGCAAACTACTGAAAGTAAAGCTGCTCAGCCCTCCCCTTTAACACCCCCCCCCCCCCTCCCTCACACACACAAAAACATGCTATGTTGGTGGTGCAATGTTTGTATGCAGTGTTGAAGAACGATAACTCGCCTTTAAAGCAATGCTTTCAGGATCTTCATACCCAACCCAGTCATCTCCCTTGAACAGATAAGGCGACTGTTGCTCTGTGTCAAACACTCTCCGAGTCAATGGGTTGGACAACAATGTGCAGATCTGCAATGTTGATACAAGATTACCGCAATATTAAAACACATATTTATTTTCTCTTGAAGTTTCAGTAACTAAGATCATGACAAACAGTCCAAACCAACAACCAGTGACCATAAGTAACCAATCACTTGAAAATGTTGAACATTTCACATATCTTGGCAGTGTGGTGTCCCTACTGGGAGGGACAAAGGAAGACATACAGTCAAGCCTGAACAAAGCTAGAGCTGCTTTTGGAAGGATGGGGCGAATCTGGAAATCCAACAATTACTGCAGAGGAACAAAACTCCGACTCTACAAGAGCATCATTTTGCCAGTTCTTCTTTATGGAGCGGAATGCTGGAGAATGACCAAAAAGGATGCACACAAGCTGTCCACCTTCCACCACACATGTCTACGTAGAATTATCAAAATTTTCTAGCCAGATACAATCTCAAACAGTAAACTACTTCAAGCCACAAACCAAGAAACTTTAGACAGTATGATAACCAAGAACAGATGGAAATGGCTTGGCCACGTTATGAGAATGACTTCTGATATACCTGCCAAATCAGCTCTCACATGGACACCAGAAGGAAAGAGAAAACAGGGGCGCCCAAAAACAACATGGAGACGAACGATGGAAAGTGACTTGAGTGCGGCATCTTTGACATGGAAAACTGAACCGAAGATTGCACAGGACAGGAAAGCATGGAAAGTCCTCTCTGAAGCCTCATGTGCCACTAGGCATAACGAGAACTGATGATGATGAAAACACATATTTACCACAACAGTGGGCAAAGCTGCAATCAGCAAACGCATTTACCGCAATATATAAACATATTACCACAATGTTAAAAAAAAAAAAAATATTTACCCGAGTATTAGCACAAAGTCAGCAAAAATATTTACCCCAATTTACCAAAAATAATAACCCCCTTCTTATTTCCCATCCTTGTTGGGTTGAAATTTTTCATTGTTTGAAGCCCTACTCTGGCTTTGCCAGAGGCCGCAATATAGCCTGACCATAAATATGGCCTAAAGGCTGAACGCGGTTTCTAAGACCTCTCCACGGTGATCCTCACCCACATGGTGGCACATTGTGTCATCGGGTGTTTATCGCTTGTGTGATGTCCTGGTGGGGTAGAAAGTCCAGTCAGTCAAAATAATAACCCAGGATAATCAACAATGTCTGTCCCAATATTAACAAACACATTCCCACACTTCAATCAAACATACTGATGTCCTCATATTAACAAACACTTCAATCAAATAAAACATACTGATGTCCTCATATTAACAAACACAGTCCCACACTTCAATCAAACATACTGATGTCCTCATATTAACAAACACAGTCCCACACTTCAATCAAACATACTGATGTCCTCATATTAACAAACACAGTCCCACCCTTCAATCAAACATACTGATGTCCTTATATTAACAAACACAGTCCCACACTTTAATCAAACATACTAATGTCCTCATATTAACAAACACAGTCCCACACTTCAATCAAACATACTGATGTCCTTATATTAACAAACACAGTCCCACACTTCAATCAAACATACTGATGTCCTTATATTAACAAACACAGTCCCACACTTCAATCAAACATACTAATGTCCTCATATTAACAAACACAGTCCCACACTTCAATCAAACATACTGATGTCCTCATATTAACAAACACAGTCCCACACTTCAATCAAACATACTAATGTCCTCATATTAACAAACACAGTCCCACACTTCAATCAAACATACTGATGTCCTTATATTAACAAACACAGTCCCACACTTTAATCAAACATACTAATGTCCTCATATTAACAAACACAGTCCCACACTTCAATCAAACATACTGATGTCCTCATATTAACAAACACAGTCCCACACTTCAATCAAACATACTAATGTCCTCATATTAACAAACACAGTCCCACACTTCAATCAAACATACTGATGTCCTCAAATTAACAAACACATTCTCATACCTTAATCAAACATACTGACCCCACAATTACCTTCTTTTTTTAACCTTATCTCAAAACACATATCCCAACAATATTAACAAGCATATATTTAAACCAGCATTACCAAAGATATTTACCTTAATGTTTAGAAACATATTTAAATATATAATAACTAAAAGATGTCATCCAAATAAAAAAAATAAAAATTTTTACACGAAAGATCCATACACACATTCACACACGCACACATGCACACACACACACACGCACACATGCACATATGCACACACACACGCACGCACGCTCGCACACACACAGACAGGGTGGGGCGGGGGGGGGGGGCGGGGGGCAGGGGAAAACGAGAGGGCATCAATTTAAAGCAAACAGTCCGCATGTCACAGATGACTGTGCAACAGTAACTTTTCAGAATATCAAGTTGTACCGTTTTTTGGGCGATTCACTCTCGGGTGATCATTCCCAGCATTAGACTCGGGTGAATGACATTAATACAGTTTGTCATTGTATGCGTGATATCCACCCCGCTCTCTTCCCACCCCCTTAAAAAAAAAAAAAAAAAACACCATCACTGTCGCGTGCGGATATGCACTAAAACACACCAATACTGACTGAGCAAAAAGGACGTCAAAACAATACGCATTGTTGTTAGGGAATAGTAATCGAAGGATTGGGAGTCGAAGGTTTGACCAAGGCGGACGTGTGGTCCAGCCTTGGTGTGGATCCCTGAGGACATTCTACCCCGGGATGCCACGGCAAGATTCGGAGAATAAAGTTTATAGGAGACAGACGTGTGGTCGTGTCTCAGCGTATCCTTGCGGACGCTCTACCCAGGGACTCCACTAGAAACGTCAGCCGAAAGCTGGACATTGATTATTGCACTCGGCAGGAAGCCGGTAAAGTTTAAAGGAGGGGATCTCCAGGCCGAATCACTAAAGAGGGGCATTGCCTTGTTCAGACTTCAGAAGAGGAGATCGATGCGACCGTCCGGTCTTTCAAGGTCTGACTGTTGACCTGTTGTTCGGAAATGTCATTTGAATTTCTCTAAAGAGTGTGCGTGCGGTAGCGAGTTTTGACGTGTTTGGGTGAGTCGTCACCAAGCGTCATAATCTTTGCACATTTCCTCATTTTGGATCAAATGTTCGATAATAGTTAGTTAGTTAGTTATTCCTCTTGTGCCAAAGATGGCGCATAGGGCAGAGGTCATAGCTTTCCACGTCTGTCGGTTCTTTGCCACTTGATGTAGGTCTTGAGTGCGACTGAGACCTATGGTTGAGCTCTCCCTTGTGATGGTTCTACGGAGAGTTTCTTTTGGTCTTCCCTGTTTTCTTTTACCCTCTTGTGACCATATGAAGGCTTGGTGGGGAAGTCTCTGTATGTCCATTCTGAGTACGTGACCGATGTAATTCCAGCGACGCATTCTAATGAAATCAGACACATATTTTTGTTTTGTTTCCTGTCTTATAGATGTATTGGACCTAAAGTCCGACCAGTGAACATTCAGTAGCTTTCGGAGGTATCTATTCTCGAAAGCGACTAGTTTCTTATCGATTGATACTGATGATTTCCAACTCTCACAACTATAAGTTAGCACTGGGATCACACAGGAATTGAAGACCTTAAGTTTCGTGTTGTTGCTGAGTGATCTTGACTTCCAAATGTTTGACAGTTTGTTAAAGGCACTTGATGCTAACGCGATTCGAGTCGTTATTTCTGATGTTGTATCTCCCGCAGAGGTTATCTTGCTCCCTAAGTATGTGAAGCTGGTGATTTTTTCAAGAACAATATCCTTTAGTTTGATGTCTTTCGACTCGTTGGTAAGATCGATGATTTTCGTTTTGGCTGCGTTGACCTGAAGGCCGATTTGGCTTGAAATATTCTGGAGGCGGTCCATTTTTTTCCTGAGCTTCTAGATGTGTTGTGCTCAGGAGTGCTAGGTCGTCAGCAAAGTCAAGATCTTCGAGAACTTTGTCGACCCATTTGATGCCTAGATGTGTGTCCTGTGTGCATTTGCGCATGACCCAATCGAGTGCTATTCCGAAAAGCATCGGTGACAAGACACATCCTTGTTTCACGCCTGTTTCTACTGGGAACCAATCAGAGTTACCAGATTCCGTTCTAACAAGGCAGCGGGAATCGGTGTAGAAGGCCTTTATAATATTGACATATTTATCTTGGAAACCATAGATTGTGAGTAGCTTCCAGAGTGTAGGGCGGTGTATGCTGTCAAAGGCCTTCTGAAAATCAACAAAGTTGATGATGAGTTGGGATTGAAACTTTACTGACTCTTCTACGATGGTCCTGAGTGTGAATATATGGTCGATGCATGACCGATTCGGTCTGAATCCTGCTTGTTCTTCTCGGAGTCTTGCATCTATTGGCTTTTTCAGTCTCTGCATTAGCATGCTGCAGAACAGTTTTCCTGGTACGGAGAGTAGGGTGATACCACGCCAGTTGTTGCAGTCTGCTAAATCACCTTTTTTGGGCAGTTTGAATATAACACCTTCTTTCCACTGTTGCGGTGGGGATTCATTTAGCCAAACATCATTGAACAGCTGTAGCAAATATTGTAAGGTGTTTTCGTCTGCTGCCTTTAACATTTCAGCTGAGATTTCATCTGCGCCAGTAGCCTTGTTCTTCTTTAGTTTTTTTTTTTATTGCTGATTTAAGTTCTAACATTGTGAATGGTTCACAGGTAGCATCTAGAGGTGGCATAGCTTCTTCTTCGTCTATATTGGGAACAGTGTCGGGTTGTGGCCTATTTAATATTTCTCTGAAATGTTCTGCCCATCGTTGCTTTTGTTGTTCTTCAGATAATAATAATTTACCCTGTTTGTCTTTGATGGGTGCGTTTGCTGTAGGTGTATGGTTGCACAGCTGTTTCATGATGTGGAATACAGCTTTATTGTTCCCAGTTCTGGCAGCCGTTTCAGCATCGCAAGCTAGGTTGTGTATGAAATCTTGTTTATCTTTCCGTGCACTATGTTTCACTTCTTTATCTAACAAGGTGTACCTTTGTTTGACTTTTTCATAAACAGATGTGTCTTTTGTAGATAAAAGGGATAATTTGGCCTGTTTTCTTTCCTGAATTTTTATCCAAGTGTTTTCACTCAGCCATTGTTTCTTCTTTCTTTGCATGTAACCAACTGTGTTGACTGCGGCTTCCTTGAAGGTGTCTCTAAAGAAGCTCCATTTTTGTTCTATGCTGTATTCAAAAGATTTTTGTTAGTTAAGGTTTGTACGTAGTTGTTTTGTATCCCAGAGTTAAATGTGATTTGATGTTGGTTTGACAACAGAGACTGTGAATCTATTTTCTTGCTTGTAAATGTTTTATGTAGTTTCTTGAGCTTCATCTTTAGTTTGGCTATGCAGAGGTTGTGATCGCTGCCAACGTCTGCTCCTCGATATGCTCTGACATCCCGAACTGACGAGCGGAATTTGGTACTTATGCAAAAGTGGTCTATCTGATTTTTAGTGTGATTGTCAGGGGAAATCCAGGTGGATCTATGAATATCTTTATGTGGGAAGGTGGTATTTGTTCGATAATACACCACTGGTATATATTCATGGCCTTCAGCGTTTAACTTCCGTTTGGAAGCATTGAATTTTATTGTTAACGTTGTAGGCGTCCAGTTTCGTCTTTGGGGGTTGATCTCTACTGTTCTGCCACACTTGGCTGATGGCATGGTACTTCCTTTAAAGCTGCATTCGTTTGTACCTGATTACACATTTCAATGGGACCTACGCCTCTCCGCACCGGAAAGCACATTTCAGTCACCAAACACCACTGCACATGTGAATGAATTTCCAAGCAATTTCTCTAGGAGTACACAAATTATCAGTCAAACGTAAATCAAAGAAGTTCGCCCCATAAAGTAAACAGCAGCGCCTGTGCAATTGTACGTTATTTAATCATAGGGAAAAGGGACATATACAACCAGATGCGAAAAGTTTGTGTTGAACCAGGCAGGAAATGTCGAGATATTAGTTTAGTTTGAGGACACGACATGTGAAAGGCAGTATAGATGCTGTGTTTTGAACTAAGTTAAAATTAACCTAACTGTACCTCAGGGTAGGCCAGGGCAGCCTCCAGACGGTAGTAGTCTCCCTGTCTGATCTCCCCAGTGACGGGAGATCCCACGCTGGTCACGTTGGGATAAGACAGGACTAGTCTCCTGCCAACACCGGTAATCCCCACCAGGATTTTACTGAAAGGTAGGCCTTTGTCCCGCCAGTAGTGGACAGTCCAATTCTGGGCAGATATGACAAATCAACAGGTTGTTGTCACAGTTAAAATCAAATTATTAATATCACCATACACCTGCCCCTAACTAAAAGGTCTTGAGTTCGAAACTACATTATGTTCTCATGTCGAATTGTCTGAAACAGGCACTAGGCGAAGACCTGGAAAGTAAAGGTGGCCACATCACCCAGCAAGTGCCGATTGATCTAATAATATGAGTAAAGAAAGACGATATTCCTGACACATATATCCTGCACGAATACTCACCCATCCATAGAGACGTCTGGCAAAACCTTGGGTCTCAGCTCATGTGCTAGACAAGACCAGCCAAGAACGGCTTGCTAGCTGTGGTTACGCAGAGATCATTGAATAGTAAGACGGTTGGTTACCATCTTGCAACCATGTTTCTCAAAACCAATCAATAAAGAGAAAAAGAAAGATGGGCTTACTATCAGACTACTACTAGAATAGCTGGAAAAAGCAACTCAGCGTTGGCTGCTGAATATGTGATGAGGGGGTAGGGGTGGGGGGGGGGGGGCAAAGGGGTGGGGGGGGGGTTACACGATTATGGGATGTCCCGAGTGCTGTCATGTGATATCAGTTCTTAAGTCAGTATTTAAAAAATGATGACGATTTCGCCAATGAATCCCCTTTGAATGGCATGCGATTGTTATGAAGGTACGTTCCTCTCTACGGTCTTCCGCGTTTCATCCTCTCAGTCACATAAAGTGCAGAAGCCTTTCCTACCCTTTTTCTTAAATCTTGGTACACTATGTGAGTCCAACACCGTACCACTTAGTTTGATGGACGTCTGTACGTCTTGGTACAATATATGAGACCAGAACCGTACCATTTGGTCACATAAACGTATGTACATCTTGGTACAGTATGTGAGTCCAGCACTGTACCATTTGGTCACATAAACGTATGTCCATCTTGGTACAGTATGCTAGTCCAGCACCGTACAATCTGGTCACATAAACGTATGTACATCTTGGTACAGTATACCACTTAATCACAGTACCACTTGGTCACATCGACGTCTGTACATTTTGTCATTGTTGGCTTAGATTTAAAAAAAATTGACTTTATGCTAACATCAAAGCTAGTTGCTAGTCACGTGAAACTTACGACACTGAGGGTGGGGTTAAACTGGATGCTGTTCCTGGAGAAGAGTGGACTGTTGAAAGCCGTAACCACACTGGTCCTCACAGTATAGTCATAGGTCATCAGAGACACGTAGTCTACATATCTGCAGGGGCGATAACCATAAGTAAGTTATTTTTATTATGGGTAACAATGGGGAGATAAAAATAATTCAAGACAAGGGAGATAGATGGTAATTGGAAGTTTAAAACTCTGCGGGTGTGCAGTAGTAAGAGGGACAAGGGCCGTTTGTAACAATTATTTTTAGCACTACTGTAACATAAATCTGTTACGAGTAACTGCACCATTTTCCCCTAATAAGCTGTTTATTAAACTATATTTAAAACACTGTTTTCCTAATTTTGAATAATGAAGACGTAAGTGATTACCCCCCCCCCCCCCCACCCCAACATCCCCCTCCTTTTTTTTCCCAGTTTAACTACTAGTCATCCTTTTTTGGGCTGCAGTTTTTCGTAATTGTGAAGCCCCACTCTGGCTCTTGCCAGAGGCCGCAATATAGCCCGGCCATAAATATGGTCTAATCGCTGAACGCAGTTTCTGGGACCTTTCCACTGGTGATACTCATCCACATGGTGGCACTTTGTGTCATCGGGTGTTTATCGCTTCTGTCACGTTCTGTTGGGATAAAATTGGCTACCACTACTAATTTTCCCTAGTCAATTTCCGTCACGTCCTTCCTTGAATCAGACTGTTGCTTACAAAAGACACATGAAGCCATTACTAGTACCCTAATTATAACCCCCTTCGGATGCTGACTGGGTCCTACTTTGTGGATCTCTTAGACAAATTGAGATTTGTTCAACCTCTGTGTGGTGTGGTAAAGATTCTGTTTGACAGCAGTCCGGAGGGAACAAACCAGTCGATGGATCCGTATAGTTCATTAAATGCTGACAAAAAAGACACGCCCATCAACATTGGACACAGTGGACTTGTAACCATGTTGTGGTGCCCCAATATTACTGTACTATACGGCTACGGATGAAAGGGGTTTCCGGGATCTAAACATATCTGATTCTTCTCCTTAAGATATCAACACAACAGACTTCAATACTAAATGAAAAATAAAAAATAAAAAAGCTGACAAAACAAACATGTTGAGGTAAATTTTGTAGTATACTAGATAAGAAATAACAATGTGTGCAGGCTGGTAGGTCGCAAACTCTGCCAAATACCCCCTGCGCTTTTGGATTGATATGTAACCTGTTGCTAATTACATAATCTAATTGTTTTATAACCCATGCTAATTATGCAAGCTTACTGTTGTTGCATAACAGATGATAATTACACACCTAACTGTTGTTGTCTATTTGACCTATCCATGGTTTTTGTAGCTATTGCTTTTGCAAGATAAGGTTGCCAACCTTAAGCCCTACTGAAAAGTTTTAATTTCTATGTTAAATCAGTACTTTTGTGTGGGGTAGAAACATAGAGAACAACTAAGGCAATTACTAATAAACTACAGACAATTATTAACTGGTGCCTGCGCAGAATAGCGGGAATTAAATGGTATGACAGAATCACTAATGTAGAGCCTTTGGAGAGAACTAAGCAAGCTCCAGTGGCCCAAGTGGAAGAAAACACGCTGGTGTTGGATAGGACACACATTGAGCAAACCAGAGAACAATATATCTGGAATGTCTTTGCATTGGAACCCACAGGGGTATAGGAATGAAGGAAGGCCAAAAAACACATAACGATGGGACCTGGAGAATGAATTCAGAAAGCCGGTGAGGACATGGAGAGAGCTTCATGTGATAACAATGAATAGAAGGGATTGGCGTTAGTTGGTTGCGGGCCTATGCTCCATTGGGGGCTAGTAGGACAGAAGAAGAACTATTGTATAACTCAGGACGAGAGAAACCATCTTTAACACCTACAAGTAAAAGGGAAAGGTTTGGTGGAAAGAGTCTTTCTACGGTTTGGAACCGGTACTCTTTGCTTTTGGGGCCCATTCGTGATGCAGCCTACAGAGACGTTTGGGTGGAAGGGGAGAGGTAGGCATAACTGATTAGTCGTTACGAGCGTCCTACTTTAAATTGTGTTGTTGTTGTAAAGGACATTGGACAGTGGACATTTTCCCTTAGTTTCTAATCCAGGATAAGATTTATCAGTCGCAGAGATGGTCAAATCTTCACGTAGAAACCCAAAGGGTGACTAAAAAACGGACAGATGGACATGACTTTTCATTGCATCACATCAGTTCAAGGTTGCGCAATACAACTACGGCATCCTTGACCCTCCAAGATCATTCGTCTTGGTTTGGCCTTTAAAAAGCACTGCTGACAAAATGAAAGCGTATCTTACTCGACATGACTGAATATTACAATAAACTGCGTAAAGAACGAATTAACAAAAGCCCTCAACGTAGCAGCAATGATCACTGAAGCCAGGAAAGAGCACCCCAGTGATCCCAAGAAGGTCAACATCCGTGAAACTCGATAGGAACATATCACTAGTGCTTCAACGTACCCGTTTGGTTTCCTGTGTCCACTTTAAGCAAGATCAACTATTACAATATTCACATGTCTATATACAACTTATCCTCCTGTGGATTCCAGGGACCTATTGTAGGGCAGCAAGAATAGACCCAGTGGCCCCTAAAAAGCTTGTTGTAAACGCCCACTTATTACGCGTTTGATGAAATCTGATGAGTTATGAAAATGCGCGAACATATCGCAGCCTAGCTGTAATCACGTACTGGAATTTTAGAGTCGAAAAGACAAAAAGAAGAATATAGATGAGAATTCAACACCGACCTTGCTATGCTCGGCACATCATAGCTCTCATCGATCTGCCACTGGCCCGCGGCTCCAGCTAGACTGAGGATCAGTTTCTCTTTGGTTTTCTCTTCATCAAAGGCTTTCCTCAAGGCCTAGTCAACGAAACGTGAAACAGAAAGTACAAACTATGAGCTCAATGCTGAGGAGAATTTAATGGCTGTTTGGGTGATAAAACTTTCATCGATAAGTGATAACAAGGCGGGAGAGATACAATTTAACATATGCATACATTGGCTTTTTTTTCCACTTTCTGAATCAGGCATTTATCATGTTAATAATTCAGTGGCTAAAGAAGAAAGACGTAAACGAGGATAAAGAGGAAGAATAGTAGTAGGTAAATGATGCTGTTGATGATACAGACGAATAAGAGAAGAAAGAATGGGAAATGAAAAAGAAGAACACGGAGACGTTTTACCTGTAATAATAAAACCAAACGACTCCGGGTAGATTTGGTCGGGTATTCCCAATCAATATCCAATCCATCAAAGCCCCGGGTTCTAAGAAATTCGACAGCGGAAGTTGAAAATCTGGCCAAAATGTCCGTGTTTTCCGTGATGGTCTCAAATCCTTCCCCTGGGTCGTTCTGTCCACCAACGGACAGTAGTGTCCGCAGCTTGATGTTGACTTTCTTGAGATCGTTGAATTCTCTGCGTAAAAGGAACAGTCTAAGTTTGTTTACTTTGAACAAGAAGCAATTAATGTTTAGGTTTATTAGATAAACAATTGCTTCTTAAATCTGGTATTTCTCTATATTAATTCATTCTCAAATAATTATTCACCCAGGTTTCCGCACACTAATTCACTAATAAGGTTAGTTGCGTATCTTTTACAGGGCGTTGCAGAACCAACCCCAACAGCCCCTGGCTTTCTTGATACCACTGTCGAAACCAAGGCAAGGCGCGTGAACCGCAGCTAGGATCGAACAAGGCATCACGGCATTACGAAGCGTTTGCATCGACTTAGCCACAGAGCCAACAATTCACTAATACATTCAAAATATCAATCGATCCAGTGCACACTCACCTACACTCAGATTCTTCTTCTTCTTTACCTCAGCTTTCATCGGATGTAAGTAAAATCCTGAACAAAGTTCTGGGTATTTGTTTTTCTTCTATGCGTCTCTGTTTTTGTTCCAAACCTTGAGGTTTGCGTCCACATGCTTTTAGGAGATTTGGTGTGCCCCTCTGCAAACTGTTGGCTCCTTGATTCTCAGGCAGACGCATTCCGACTGTGGTAGGACGCCAAAAACCGTTGTTTAGCTCGACTTGCGCAGATACCTGGCCACCCAGGAAGCCACATGTCTATAAAAAGGCGACGCACACGGCCTTATATACTAAATTTAAACGTAATTTTTTGTTATTTGGCCTGCTTTTTCGTGGTAACATACATATCCAAATGTTACGCGTCATTTTTAGGACGTCATCGGGTGTTTATCGCTTGTTTTTTGTTATTTGTCAAAAAAGCCTACATCCCCAGGCTTTTGCTTTTGTCAGGGGCCGCAATATAGGCAGGCCATAAATATGGCCAATTGTCTGAACGCGGTTTCTGGGACCTCTCCACGGTGATCCTCATCCACATGGTGGCACTTTGTGTCATCGGGTGTTTATCGCTTGTGTTATGTCCTGGTGGCGTAGAAAAGTCAGTCAGTCAAAAACGGCCTCATTTTGGTTTTCCGGATTGAACCCGCAGTCGTTTAGGGCAGGAGGCACACCCTGCTGTTGTGGCTCCTCACATTGGGCTAAACAACGTGGGTACAGGCGATTTCGGGTGATAACCGGTTGTCTGGCTGATTTGGTGGCGGTAGTATGTTTCCAAAGTCAAATCTGAATTTGTTTATAATAGTTAAACTGTGTAGAGATTTATCAGTGTGTATCATCGCTCGAAGATATTTCAGATTATTAGTGGTGTGGTTTGCACGTTGATGATTGTTAATGTTCTGTTATTTGTGAACAGCGCATAGTTTTGTGTTCAGTTCAGTAAAATAAACAGCTGTTTAATGTGATAATTATTATTTAGTTTGTTTGATTTCAATTTAGAATCTGTAGTCCGTACACGTGGTTTGTCTAGATGAATGTAATCATGTAGCCAAGTTGTTGTCATGTAACTCACCATACACATATCCTTTGTCTGTGCCAAGAGCAATTGATTTCATGGTCTCTGTGGATTGTGCATGACTGTGCGTCGTCTGTGTGTGTTGTGTGTGTATCGTCTCGTGTGTTAGTATTGTGTGTCTGTGATGTGTATCTGTGTTTGCTACATAGTGTCTGTGCTGCATGTGTATGTGTGTGTGTGCTTGCCTGTGAATGTGTTTGCGTGTCTGTGTATTCTATGTGTATGTGGCTGTGTGTGTGTCTTTGTTGTGTTTGTGTGTGAGGGTGTGTGTTGGTATGTGCCTGTGTGTATATGTGTGTTAGCGGGAATGCCTGTGTATACGTGGGTCTATGTGTGTAAGGGTATTTGTATTGTGTGTCTGTGGGTGTGTATCTATGTCTGTGTGTCTGTGTGTGTTTGTTTGTGTGTATGTGTGTGTTTGTGCGTGTAAGACTATGTGTATGTGTCTGCATGTGTATCTGTGTCTACATATGTCTGTGCGTGTGTTTTCTTGCATGTGTATTCTACGTGTATGTGGCTGTGTGTTTGCCTGCGTGTGTGTTTGTTTGTGTGTGTGTGTGTGTGTCTTTGTTGTGTTTGTGTGTGTGTCTTTGTATGTGCCTGTGTGCGTATGTGTGTCTGCATGAATGCCTGTGTATATGCGCGTCTCTGTGTGTAAATATCTGTGGATTTCTCTGTGTGTGTCTATGTGTATATGTGTGTGTTTGTCTGTGTGTGTTTGTCTGTGTGTATCTCTGTGTGTAGTGTCTCTTGATGTGTCTACATGTGTGTGTGTGTATGTGTGTCTGCGTGTGTGTCTGTGTGTGTGCCTGTGTATATGTTTGTCTGCGTAGGTGTTTGCGTTTGTGTGTCTGTGGGTGTGTTTCTGAGTATGCCTGTGTGTATGAATGCCCGCGTATGCTTCTACGTGTGTGTGTCTATGGTTAGTGTGTATGTGTCTGCGTGAGCATCAGCGTGCGTGTGTGTGTCTGCGATTGTGTGTGTGTTTGTGTGTCTCCGAGTGTATCTGTGTGTGTTTGTGTGTGTCTGCGAGTGTGTGTATGCCGGTTTCTGTGTGTGTGTCGCATGTGTGTGTCTGAGTGTGTATCTGCGTGTGTGATTGGGTGTGTGCGCGTATGTCTTTTTTGTGTGTGTGTGTGTCTGCATTTGTTTCTGCTGTGTGAAATACGGGTGTTTGGAAGGGCCGAATGTAAGACGGGCCTGCGTGCCCAATCTGTGACCCTTTGAAAATAAAGTTCGTTCTTCGTTCGTTCGTTCGAAGAACCCTTGTCTTTTCTTTAGTTTCCTTATTTCTGTGTGTGGCTTCAGCGGAAAACTAATACATTTTGTCCCAGTCAAATTTTTTTTTTAGCCTTCTACTTCCGTGTTTTTTCTTTTCTTTCCTCCCGCTAGCACATAACTAACTAATTAACTTACTTAACAAATCTTAACTAACTAACTAACTAACTAACTAAATAACTAACTAAACTAACTAACTAACTAACTAACTAAAACTAACTAACTAAACTAACTAACTAACTAACTAACTGGATAACTAAACTAACTAACTAACTAACAAACTGATCTACTGACAGTGACTGCTACCTGACTGACTGACTGAAACATGACTCTGACTGACTGAAACTAACTGACTGACTCACTAACTAACTTAAAACAGCCAGGTACTAATCGATAACTTCGTTTGACTGATGACTCACTAACTAACATTTAGTTACTGACTACGCTGACTCACTCTAATTTAACTTACATAATCACTAAGTCACTAGTAACCTTTTTTTTCGCAGTTACTTACCCACCATCAAACACGAGTCAATTATAAATCATTAACTCATTCATTGACACACTCCCACTCTCACACGCCTACTCCCGCACTAACAAACTGAATAACCCATTTACACCCACTCACACACACAGACTTATACACTTACCGAATCCACCATTCTATCACCCACACCCACACTCATTCACCTAGTCACCCACACACTTACCCCACTCTTTCTCACTGAATTACCCACTCACAGAGACTTATACACTTACCGAATCCACCATTTTATCACCCACATCCACAATCACTCACCTAGTCACCCACACACTTACCCCACTATTTGTCACCGAATTACCCACTCACACACTTAATAATTTCAAAGACACAAAACTTCAATGACTCACCGGTATCTCCCCGCGTGGCCGGGCTTGGACTCCTCCAGCTGACCATCTGTGGCGGTCAGCAGTTTGCTAGCACGGTCCAGTTTTCCGAAAGCATAAACCAGATGAGTGCAGAGGTTCGGATCCACGTCTTTGATGTCGTACCTGGCTGCGACGGAGTCTCGGACATTGGCCCAGCTTGGGAAGTAGCAGACTCTCAGAAACTGAACCCCACAAGCTGTGATCGGGTGCGTTTATCAAGAATAGAAGTTTCACAGGTTGCAAGTTAGATATTGGGGCCCCTATTTTAAATATCCCCCCCCCCCACCAGAAAAAATACTTTGACATTTGCGTACATATCTGTTTTACAAACCTATACTTTTTGTATGCAGACTGTTGGTTCGAGTCTTTTCAAGCAGACGAATTCTGACTTTCAAGTAAACAGTTCTATTTAGTTGTTTTCTGCATGTTAAGAGAGTAGTGAGCCTATACACCCGCGCCCTTCTCGCCCCACCCACCCCCAATCGGACCCCGAAAACAACTTGTAGACGTGAACAACCGATACAACCGCACTCGAGCTACTCCCATAGTGTCCCTGCCTTCAGCATCAGCAGCAAGCTGGTAATTCCAGTGCCGATTGTACCAGAGGCAGTCTAAGTGCATGTCGGGAATAAAGTTCTTTAAGGTGGTCCTGCCCTTCCTGGGAGTGTTGAATACTGGCCAGATCTCTTGTTCACTACCCTGTACACCTTCCTCTTCAGACGGCAATGATCTAATCAGTCAGTAGCGGTTTATTAGCTCCCAAAGAAGACACGTTTATCTTGGCATGCATCAGCTCATATTAATTACGTTCTTATACAGTGTGATAACCTTTTATTTGAAGCAACGGCAGACACTGTGATAACCAACTTACCAGGGGAAGTGCTTGTTGATTTGAAAACAACTGAATGTTATCATTTTTTATAACTTTTTATGAAACGCCCATCATCATCATCATTATTATCATTATCATCATCATCATCATTATCTTCATTATCATTATCATCAACAACATTTTATGCCCGTTTTTGTTCATCTAGAACTCAAAGTCGTTCTCCATTCTGTTCTACAATGTTTAACCTCTGCGATTTCATAGAGAGAATCCAGCCAAGTAAACAGTGGTATATGTTTTGTTCACTTCAGTCCTCTCTCTGCCCATTTCCCTCATAATCACTTCTCCTCATGATATGCCCACTTCTCCTCATGATATGCCCACTTCTCCTCATGATATGTCCACTTCTCCTCATGATATGCCCACTTCTCCTCATGATATGTCCACTTCTCCTCATGATATGCCCACTTCTCCTCATGATATGCCCACTTTTCCTCATGATATGCCCACTTCTCCTCATGATATGCCCACTTCTCCTCATGATATGCCCACTTCTCCTCATGATATGCCCACTTCTCCTCATGATATGCCCACTTCTCCTCATGATATGCTCACTTCTCCTCACGATATGCCCTCTTTTTTTGCTATCTTGTTTCTCTTTTGAAGAGTTGCTACAAGCCAGTTGTCCCGAGACGTCTCTTATTTTATAACTTTTTTTCAAATGTCACTGTAGCACTTATTTTTACATATTAGTATAGCTGGCCTCTCGCTCAACCCTATTCATTTCACATCCGAACTTAGGACCGGCAATTCCAGAGATATAGTAAGGGAGAGGGGGCACAAATTTGGAAATGCTATAATCAGAAATTATTAGATCGATCTTATGTGGTCCTCGTGTGGTCCACATCCTTTTGTCTGGTGTACTTTCAATCGGTCCTGAAACAGATGATCTTCCAAACCATGATGTCAAACTGTCTTCTTTCTCGGTTTCTGTCAGCATCTTTCCTCCTTCATCATTCCCATCACCACGATATACTCTAGTTTTCACTTTCCCATCATCACGATATACTCTAGTTTTCACTTTCCCATCATCACGATATACTCTAGTTTTCACTTTCCCATCACCACGATATACTCTAGTTTTCACTTTCCCATCACCACGATATACTCTAGTTTTCACTTTCCCATCATCACGATATACTCTAGTTTTCACTTTCCCATCATCACGATATACTCTAGTTTTCACTTTCCCATCATCACGATATACTCTAGTTTTCACTTTCCTATCACCACGATGTACTCTAGTTTTCACTTTCCCATCACTACAATGTACTCTAGTTTTCACTTTCCCATCATGACGATGTACTCTAGTTTTCACTTTCCCATCATGACGATGTACTCTAGTTGTCCCTTTCCCATCATCACAATGTACTCTAATTTTCACTTTCCTATCACCACGATGTACTCTAGTTTTCACTTTCCCATCATGACGATGTACTCTAGTTTTCACTTTCCCATCATGACGATGTACTCTAGTTTTCAATTTCCTAAGAGATGATAAAAGAACGTAGACTGTCCCCTTGTGTCGTGGGTAGTCAAATATCTTTGTGAGTCAGTTTCATTCAAGACTTCATTTCTGTTTTTATTTCTCTAAGATATTATCGTTTTTCCTTCATAAAGCCAAATCTCTGCCACTTCAAAAAATATTTTCTTCAATCGTTCAACTGTCCATAATTAACTTCAACATATCAGCTTATGTTAAAAACAAGAGCTAAAATAAAACCAACTAATTTTCAAATGTTATGCGAAAGTTAGATAAATAATTTGCAAACTGACCATACTGAAAGATGGCAAGAAGAGACGAAACAATCCACACTGGGGGCATCATTGTTGGGTCCAGTAACGTCTAGTTCATGTCACGGGTTGGCTTTCAGGCGCAGGGACAACATCCGAGATTGTCAGCATCACTGGAAAGATGGTCATAGGCAATGATATGTTTATGTTAGTAAAATAGACAAGGCAGAATACATTAGACTCTCCTGAAATCTCAATCAGGGACTCCCCAACAACCCTCCCCCCCCCCCCACCCCTTCCCACACTTGTCCACACACCGTTCTTTCTGTAGACTTTTCCCCCCAGCGATGAAAGCTTTTATAGGCAATATATCTTCAATGTCTTGTATCCACGTTCGCGATGGTCGTCATCTGCCTCGTCTTCCGAAAACTGCATCCTCCATCACCGTTTATCTGTAGCCTTTCATTTCTAAAACTCCGATGAAAGACGAATGATCACAAAATGTTTACTTAAACTTGCTTGCCGATGCTGAACCGCAGGATGCGAGAAAGAAGTTGTAGTTTATTTTGTCTGGTAATCTAAAACAAGGAAGAGTAGAGAAAACTGGCAAGAGTGATAGAAACAGACGAAGAGGACGGCAGACAGTAATTATCTAGATGACTCTGTCACTTAGATGGGGTTAGATAAGAGCACTAACTTGATTTGTGTAACTGGTTATTATGTGATATGTGACATTTATCGACAGGGCACATAATGATGATACATACAACTAACACATATGACTTACTTGATTTCATATAATTTAAAAGTCCATAGACATACTACATCCCTGGGTGTCTATGTATCTGTGCACTGAGATCAACCTTGGAGCCACGGAGGTATCACTTGTGGTTACACTGCGTCAGTTCTAGACACACTGAAACGAGAGCTGCGAATGTGTTGTTAAGTCCCCAGTAACAAAACACACAAGGGACACTTTGAAGAGGCCCAAAGTGGGGACACTCAATCAGGCTATTGGTTGGAGATTGTCAGATTGTTTGATCGCGCGGGTGAGATTTGGGGTCAAATGTCACGAACTATGCAGAGAGAATTCGAGAAACGTTCAAAAATAATATGACAGAACAACAGCGATGATTGTTTCATTGTCTTTGTTCTCAGACTATTGTTCGTGTGCTCATTCCAGTGTTGGCATGATTACCAAACTACCTTTCTGATACATACTTAAATACTTACGTATTACATATCCGTAAACCTGGAATAGACCTATATAGAAAAAGTTCTGGGTACTCCACAGCTCAGTTGTGGAACTATCTTCCACAACAAATAAAAAAAAAAAAAAACCTAGTTCCTCCCATACATACAGTCGCAAACTGTTCGAATATTATATGTGCACTGAGACCATACTCCCATTTAAAAAAAAAAAAAAAACCCACACAGATCATTTTAGAAATAACAAGCACTATCCCAAGATATATTACAAGCTATGAAGGACTTTGGAATACTAAAAAAGTCAAACATGACAAAACTATGTACGGAAGACATTTGTAATATATATATATATATTAATTAAGGCAGAAGTTCAGACCCTTTTCAAATAACATCTGGTTTAAAGCGAGGTGATGCTCTGTCCCCATTTCTTTTCAACTTGACCCTGAAGAAAATTACAAGGAAATTGAAACAATAGTATACTACAACAATAACTACAACAATACAGCAATACTTGGATATGCTGATGACATTGATATCGTTGGAGAAAATGAACTAGAGACTGCTAAAACACTGACTGTCTTAAAAGAATCAGATCAGAAAATAGGTGTAGTTATCAATCAAGACAAAACAGAATGCATGATAATTACTAGACAGGGAAAGGAAATGAACTCCGGCCACATACAAGTCGATAATATGAAAATTAAACGAACGGAAACATATAAGTACTTGGGTGCAAACTTCAATTGCTCCAACAGGCTAAGAGAAGAAAGCGTTTCTAGAATACAAACTGGAAATTAAGTATACGATGCTCTTCAACATCTGCTAAAGTCAAAGCGTCTGTCTCGCAACACCAAGATCGAAATATATAAACCGTTAATAAGACCAGTCGTGTTATATGGCTCTGAAACTTGGAGTACAGCTGAAAGATATGAAGCTTTATTACAGGTTTAGTTGGGCCTGGCATCAATGATAGCCGTTTTTTCTGACATCAGTAATGTTTTCCAGGTCAGTGGAAATCCTTGGACACATGGTCCTCACGTTCCAAGAGCCAAGTCGCAGCTTAGGGTTACGCCTATCTTTCTTTTTATTCCCTGGTGCATTAGCTTTTACAGCCCGCAGTTCGGATTCTGTCCTAGCTCCAAGCACCCATTGGAGCATCCAATTTGTGGCGGATCAACACCTTATTGGCTGGGGGCTACCTAGTTTCAAGTGAGCGATAGTTGATCAGTGACGTTCGAAGATGTCTCCAACCGTTAGAGGCAACCCGTGGCGACCTTGTCTACTCCAGTTGACAAGGACTTATAACTCATAACTGCTGCCTCTCGATTTGTTTCCGAGACCGATTACGGCCAGGGATGAAGTTT